GAACGCCTTGCGCACTTCTTCGGGCACGCCTGCTTGCGCCAGGTGCGTCGCAGCCTCTGCCAGCAACTCAATTGCCTCACCGTCCTGCAGGAGGAGCTTCGAATCGAACGACATGTAAATGGAACAAGCCCAAACAAACGAAGACAAAAAAAAAAACATCAACAAATGTTATTCGTTGCCACGCGCCTATTTCCGCCAGCAAGTGTAATGTCCAAAGGGTTCATGTGGACGCGAACAATGTCAACATTGAGCCTCTCACTGATGCGCAGGTTGTCGTGCACCGTCGGCAGCGCATTGCCGCGCGAGGGGCCACCGGAAAATTGCCGCATCCGCGCAAGGTCAATGGCAACAACCACAACAACAAGTGAAAAAAATCGGCCTCCGCAAAACCAGGCAAGTTCGGGGCATGACAGCCAACGTTGCTCGACGCAGGTGCATGCTCAAGTGGCAGGCGAGCATGCTATGAGACCCGAGCAAACCGCAGGTTCTCTAGAGGGCCACTGCTTGCACGATGTCCGAATGATTAATGATTGGAATATATTCTGAGGAAATGTGGGGCAGTGACATCACCAATGCACGTTTCCTGCGAACGCAGGGTATACTGCGGTCCTGCAACATAATTTGCTGCATCTCATGATTCCTGCATCGGCCAAATTACGCGGCGATGTTGGCTTGCCAAGGAGGTCTCATGAAATATCGCCGCCGAGGGCCTAGCGGTAGTCGATGGTAGTTGCGTTTGTAAATTCCAGGCAGCAAGCTCGTGCAGTCTCAAAGGCCCGAGATGAAAAAAGATATGACATATTGGGAAAACAAATATTCTTGCACATGATTACGATGTGGAGCTGGTATCCGTCCGTCAAATGTCACCCAGCTACAATAATGGGATGTAATGGGCATGTTCCAGAGCGCACGACACATCATAGATTGAAATGATGCATCCGCATGGATACATATCGTGCAAAACTCGCCAAATGTTATTAGGCTTGCCATATGTTGTTGTGCTGGTGCAGCACAGGCAACTTCAAGTGAGTGTCACGTTCCGCATGTGTCGTAGACAGCATAACATAGGTAGCATGCCGTTGCCAGCATGTTGCGATGGGTCATGATGTGGCCGGAGCCCCAGACACAAAAACCAGCCAGCGTTTTGCAGCGAGATGTTGTTGTGTAGTCGTGTTTCAGGAACGTGCCAGATGTCGGTTGTCGACGTCTGAAGCAGCAGCATTTTTTTTTTCAATTCTGTGATTTTGCGTTTCGTTCTGGTGTTTGATCCTTCCGCCATGCGCGTTGGTGGTCGTGTCGTGCTTGCATCAGAAAAAGACGAAGCCGGAATGAATGTATCCTTCAGATGTACCCATTGGAATCTACTCATTGGAATCTCATTGGTTTCCCCATTTTTGCCAACATGACTTGCCCATGTGAGAGAACTGAGTGATATAGCTTGTCGTACTGATTGTGAACTGGGCGTTTTTCCGTGTGTTTTGTGGTTCTCCGTCTCCGTTTTCGTTTCGTTGTTGTTGTTGCAGCTGCTGCAGCTGCTGTTGTGTGTGTTTTGGTTGTTTTTGTTTGTGTTTCGCTTTTGGATTTTGCAGAGGTGATTGTTGACGCTTGTTTTGCATGAGTATGCAAAACCCCGAAGATGGAATATAAATATATATATATATATTTCAAGAAATATGTGTACACAACACGGGAGAAAGAACATAGAAAAAACAACGGCACGACGGGTGTACTTGATTCGATCCCACACGCACCTGCAGTTTGGCGGGGGCATGTAACAGTTACCCAAACACATACCAATAGTGTTGCTAATCAAAGCCGGTAGAGCGTTTCACGGGCGTCGTTGTGTCGTCCAAGCTGGCCGGATCTAATCTTTGGCATGGCGGGAAGCCATCAGTTTCTGGATGTGGCGAGGTTGTAAGCGCGAAGTTGTGACACTGAAGAGCTGGACCCTTACGTGCACATATTGTCACGCTTTTGTGCCCAATCCCACGCTTGTTGATTGCTTGCCTCCACCAGGGACGCTGTCAGATCGGCATGTGGGTTCCTCAGATCGCCAGTGGGAACCCATGTCCAGCCACAAGGTGATACATTGTTTGGTTCAGGTCGTGCGGCTCAAACAGTTTGTTGATAGTGTGATGGATATTTTGGCCAAAGCGCCAGAAGGTGACTTGCATTTGTTGGACGGCACTGTGTTGCCCTATGAGGTTTTGGGCGATGTAGATGCATGCCCATTAATCTGGGGTCATGGGCTGGGACCAACCGACCCGCGCAAGATGGACCACCGCACCTGTGAGAGCTTCCCTCTGATCAGTGCTGGCTCATCGACCGCTTGCAAAGGTGGAGGAGGCGTCACATGGCCGTTCAACGTTGTGACATATGATGCAAGAGGTCATGGACGTTCATCAGGGTGGGAGGCACAGGCAGACTGCGTTCAACAATTTCACTGGCGCAGTCTAGCTTTTGATATGTTGTCTGTAGCCAATCAATTTCGAAATGCCCGTACGCGAAAATTATCTGGAACATTGCTAGGAGGTTACAGCATGGGAGCCTCAACAGCGCTGTGGGCCGCATATCTTTGTCCCACTGCAGTTCGTGGCTTAGTGCTCCTCTCCGTGACGACAGCATGGGAGATTCGGTCTGCACGTCGCTCCAATCTTCTGAAAAATGCAGAAATGTTGCAAGCAACCGATCCCGCAGCTGCTGACGTGGTACGGGGTGCTGCCTTTGCTGATTTACCTTCATTGGAAGATTTGGCTGCAGCAAAACTTCGAATGCCAGTCCTCCTTTGCGCAGCGAGGGATGACACAACACACCCTGCCGTCGTGGCGGAAAGATTGTCCCAAGTGCTACCGCAAGCAGACATGTTAGTAAAAGACACCAAGACTGAATTGGTCGATGCATTTCCACTACACTTGCAGACGTGGTTGCAGCAGAACTTCCAGGACCAAATCCGAGTGGAAGAATGAGGCAGTGAGGTTATGCATATACCATCAATGCTATTTGATTTGCATTTGGCCTATATGACACGTGCACAGGCACATGTGTCAACATACTGCGTTGATAGTGCAGCGCGCAGTCAAACGCATATTGCAAAAACATTGTGCGCTTACAGTGCTGGTAATGGTGTTGAGGATTTTCGGATAGGGGCAGCACATCATGGCCCGCATCAACATTTGCAGTGGAGGTCCCTCTTCGGACATTTGTTCCGTGCCGTGCCCGGAGATGGTTCAGCTTCACTGTTACACATTCTGGTGAATGATGAAATTATGCCTAGACTGGACATCGCCGCCTGCAGATGCAGGGTGCTTTTCTCAGCGAGTGGTGAATGCATAAATTCACTCTGCGATCAAAGTGTGGACGCCTGAGGTCCCCTGCGAGGTTCGGAAACTCGTATGCGAGCACGTATGTGTGATGCCCGAAGCACTGGCTTTTCACGCCAGATGCGTGGCGCGTGGATCCAACACGGCGCCTCCACCAAGCTACAGTTTTGTGGTTGTCTCAGTGTGCGTTGGTGCCATGATTCCCCAAGCGTTTTGTGCCAGATTTGCAGTCAGAATGCAGGAAAAACTGCAGAACCTGTACTTTCAATTGTCCCAATTTCGGGAAAGCGTCAGCACCTCAGTCACAGCAAGGAGCCTTTTTTTTTGCATGGTTGTGGCGGTTGCATGTCAGAGTTTGTCACGAATCATGCGGTTGTGATGACATTCCAGGTCTGAACGTTCCTAGCCTGAGTCTGGGTGTCGTCCAAAAAGGATTGCATCAGCAGTTCAGGATTGATTGGCTGCAGCATCAGGATGACCTTGTGAACATGATACGAGCGGGCAAGATGATGTACTGGCATCATGTTATTAAGGCGTGGGGTTTCGCGAGGTTTTAGCCTATTCTGCATGCTTGCATGAGGAGGTTGGGGGTCAAGCTGGGCGGTGGGGCGAGGTTGAAACCGCCCATTCAGAACGCACACGTCCCGAAATCGAGAGTGTCGGAGTTGGGGGGAGTCAAGGCCTTGCGCCACTTGCCTCATTTGCCCTACCCATTGCTCACTTGCCCCCCATTTCCCAGGATCTGGCACTCAGACGGGGTGAGTGGAGCGAGTGGAGCGAGTGGGGCGAGTGGGGAGCGAGTGGGAAGTGTGACAGGCGTCTATTTCCCCCCTGCAGTCGCAATGCCGAAAACAGTGCGTGCGAAGTGCCAAGATGCTGAAATTGGTGGTATGAACGGGTTCTCGTTTTGTTTGGTACGTTACAGCTGCGACAGGTGTGCAGTATCTGCAAGGATGACAGGCCGTCGCGAACTGCAAATCGTCAGCGAGAACTGCAATTGAGCCAACTTGCATGAGCACCATGCGCCAGATTAAGGGTTTCCCTGGCCAAGAATGATAGGCAGATGTGGGCATTGTGCATGCGGCTCGAGCGTTGCAGTTGTTCAGATGTGCACTTGTGCAAGAAGGCCTCCAGCTAGACATCAGCATGTGACCAAATGGGATTGTGTGTGACTCAGGACCTCGACAACAACTGTGACGGAGACGCGCTCATAGAGATCGTGAGACAAATAACAGAGGTTCTCCACAGATGTCAGGATTTTCTGGCAGTAGACGTCGACCATTTTTTCCAAAGTGACGTATGCAGAAATGCCGTCGGAGGCACTGGTTTGGGGTGAGCAAACCAACCACAGCCCCATGGCATCTCAAAGTTGTAGCAGCATCTTGGGGCAATGCAAGTTCCTGCTTTGCAAGGCCAGTTCTTCGACTTCTTTTGTGAGAAGCTCCTGCCTGAGTGGCATGTAGTTTATCCATGCTGGGCAGCACTTGTGCCGTTTGAGACCAGGAGCATTTTCAGTGATTTGGTACACGTCCTCAGCTTGAAGAAAGCATCAAAGAAGGCTGGATGGGGCATGCTACAATTCTCTTAGCTACAAGGAGCGGCACGAGAGATCATTTGTTGTTTGCGCCGCTTTACAAATTCTTCTTGCAATCACGTCGTTCCCATCCTGCCAGGTCAAATTGCAGCTGTTACAGACGTTGTCTATGCTCATTCAGAACATCAACCGGAAAACGTCGGGTGCCCAGCCATTCACGGCCAGCATGCGTATATGACAGGTACGAGCCCAGCAGTTCTAGTCAATTAAAGATTTCTTACCTGTCCAGTGGGTGGCCTCTAACCCTTTTCCAGGCTCACATGAAGCACAATATACACACAGCCTTTGGAGCCAGCAGAAGGGCTAGATGAGTCGGAAGGTTGCCATGTTTCGTCGATATGAATTCGACCGCCATTCCTTCTGTAGCAGAAGGAGGACTACCACTGCTACAGGTGAGACAAAGATTCGTGCGATATTTTGATTTCTTCAAACTGTCGCAACCGTTCAGCACATACAGACGGCTGATTGGGATTTCCAGCTGCTAGTCATCCCTCATGCCGGAATGATGTTCCGTAGGACGTTGGTTTTCCCAAAGTGCCTTCTACTCCTCTCTTCTCGCTGGACGTGGGCCGGTGTAGCCCAAAACCTTCCAAACCAACAAATTTCTATTTGAGTTCTAGTTCCAAAGATGCCTTTACCTGGGGTGGTCAGACGCAGCGGCGCAGATGCTGCACTCCATCTGCAGCATCCTTGCTTGCAGGTGGAGCTTAGCATGCTGTTTTGATTTGAAAGAAGCATGTTTTGCCAAAGCCCGGGACATGAAAAAGACACGTCCCCGGATAGTTTTGCGGACTGTTCTTGAAACGCAACGCACGGGGATTGGTTTCAACAACTGTTCCTGCTCGAGATGATTCTGTCAATGCATTCCTTCGATTGCACTGTGGAAGATGATGTGTTGTCTTAACCTTTGTCTCTGCTGGCATTGCCCCTTGAACTTATCTTCCAATTGAAAAAGCGAAGGGCGAAGAGAGGTTCCCAAACCGAATGCCCCAGCCAGCCTACATTGTTTGACGGTGCGATGGGTGGCCATCAGTACAGACAGGCGCCATCGCCTTGTGAGTTCCAATGCCTCCAAAGATCACGAACTCACAAAACCTTAAAGCTCAACCTATCTGAGCCAACCTTGATGCCCAAAGCCATGGACCCTGCGCCGCACAACAGTTGATCATCGATGTCGGGTTTAGAGTTTGGGGTTCTGAGTTTCAACTGCCACCTCTGCAACGTGCGACGTGCAGCCACAGATAGAGCTAGTAGATGCACATCTGGAAAAGAACAAATTGCTGCCCTATGTGCTGACTCCATCCTCCTTGCTATTATTCAAGTTCCTTTTACCTTGTACATGCTGCACACTGCACACTCTCGTGCAGTTCGCTGCCCCTGCGCCCACAGCTGAAGGAAGGAATCAGCATTGCTTTCGGTGCAGTGTTCGAGTTGACGGTGTGGATTGAAGCACCTGGCTAGACTAGAAACCGGTGAGTCTGGCAGTCTGGCTGGAGGCCAGAGATCGCAAATGTTTTTTTTGTAGTCCTAGCATGTCCCAGCTTTGTTGTAGCGTTTTGTGTGTGAGGGTGTTGCTGGTTGGGTTGAATTTCTGACAAATGTCTGCCTGCTCAGAGCTGGCATGCCCTAACGTTTTCCGGGCAGGAAACCGTGACAAGCACTCAAAAACAAATCAACCAACCACGAAAACTCAAACAGACAAAGCACGCATTTGTAAAACAAACTAGTTCAAAAGCGAATCGCGCATCAAGAAATCATCCAAAGTCACTACTGTCGATCTTCTGTAAATGACAGGAGGAAGCGAAAGCTTGCCGAACCTGTACCCTGTTCTCTAGGTTATGTCAAATGTAAGAGGCTGCCTTGCATCAAGGACCCGTGTTGACACTCACCCTTCTCATTTCGTGGGACGTTTGGGCCATGGCTTGCTGACTGTTCATGCGGTTGCAGATTTCCTGGCACACTTCTGCTCACTGTTTGTTTCTTGGTCACCTGAACACGCGATGCAACATGACGCAACGGCATCATGGTTTTGGTCTGACATCTTGGTGCTACAGCGTGATTCGTTTTTGGAGCACTCTGTCACACATGTATGAGACAGCGGCCTCTCAACTAATGCAGTGTTTTTCTGCGCAAGACGCGTATCGATATCAGGACGGAAGTAGCGGCTGGAACTTGTCAGGGGAAACAAGTCTTGACTTAGACGGCCCATCCCAGGGGTGGCCTTTCAGGTTGTGATGTTCCGGATTCTGCTGGGATGATTTCCAGCTCAGATCATGCCACGCAATCGCAAGCCAAACTACCATCGCGTTGCAAGACACGCTGCTTTATCAACCTTTGCATGACAGGTCCGTGTACTACATCCTGAGTAACAATCATGTGAACAGACTGATGGCAGTGGCCCCAGATTTTTGGACTTCATGTGATTATTTAAATACAGCTGAGCAGAATGATGCTATGTGAAAAGTCGACCAACATGGACTTTGACGACGAGGATGTTCTTGCTTATTATATCACCCTCATGAAGCCCAAGGCTCAGTTCAAACGCGTGAACGCATTCGTGGGGGTTCTATGTTGGCGTTGCTGCGCGAGGTCTTTGGCTATGCGGTTAGACAATGAATCCATAAAGCCAGTGCCTGATGCCTGCATATGCTTGCATGTGGCACGCTGCGTGTTGCAGGGTCAATGATGCAACCTAGAAAAGTAGCTTTGTTTTTCTGCATCCTGCATTTTAATAGGTTCTTCTTCATTCAGCATCCGGAGCTGCAAGCTGAGCTTCCCCCACCCTGTTTTCACAAAACTTCTACTCGCTCCTGCTTCGCTCAATGGCAAGGCCATCCTTCCCGCTCTACATCGAAGCGACAAAATTCTTTAGCTGGTTGCTTGGAGGGCTGATTGATTCCGAGATCGTTCACGCTTCATCTTTGATTGCAGATGATTGCAGAAGTGCGTGTTTGTTGTGGCTTTTGGTGCTCATCAGCAGTACTTGTGACACTCGCGAGTGCCTGCCATCATGGCGGCGCAGCGCGGAGCATCCGCGCTGGTGCTGGCGCTGCTGGCTTGCGCCACTCTCGCCTTGCGCACTTGGCTTGGGGCCTTTCAGAGCACGTCGGCCTTCACGGTGGTGGGCTCAAGTCCAGAAGGTTTTGCGCCGCCTGCGCATGCACCTCGAGCGGAGATCCCAAGGGCCCCAAGTGTTGGCAAGCTGGGCAGCGATGCCGGTGCCAGCAAGCAGGTGGAAGTGGTGTCGTTCAACCGCTACGAGTACCTCAGACGCAAGGACATGGGCTACAAGTACCCGGTGGGGGATGAAGCCTATCAATTCCCGCCCCCGATCCCAGACAACCGGGCTGGCATGAACTTCCCATCCACTCTGCTCGCCCATTGCGACCGCGTGTACAAGAAGAAGTGGCTGGTGTGCAAAAGGCTGTCAGAAAACAAGCGTAGACAGTCTGACTGCGAATGGGATGCTTTTCGGTGGAGGCGCACTTGCTATTGGAAGGCCCGACCCAACAACATGAAGATCCACCCCAGCTTCAACAAGGACCACCCCTGGAACAAGCAAGCCTGAGCGCCGATGAAGTGCAAGGTTTGGCTAAACGCCAGCTTGGCCTTGATGCCTTTTCGCAGCGTGCCATCGGGCAAAAGAGCAGATGCCAGGGCGGGGCGTGTGCTAGTTGCGCCTGTTTTGGTAGGTGACACCCTCCGAAAAAAGCTGTGCCATGACCTTGTTTGCGATTCATTCTGCACGTCTCTGTTTCTGTCTTTTCTGGACCCGCACTTGAGG